TTTGTAACCTGAAACGTTTGTAATCTGAGACGTTTGTAACTCGAGGTACCACTGTATTTCTCTAGTACTATTGCAAATCAATCCTTCCTTCTTGCCTTGGTTTTTTCCTATAACCAATCAACTGTAGTATGGTTGGTTCTCTACACACTGTCTATACTTGCTCCATTCCAATTTACTGTTTGTGCTCCTATCCCAATGTAACTCACTCTTTCGGTTCCCTAATTGGACTGTAGCCCGTCCTGCACAGAAATGATTAGGGGTGTGTGTAAGAGATAAATGGAGATAAATGGAGTTTGATTTCCCACAGGCCATTCCTTATTCCTATCAAGACACCTCTTTTGGGAGAAAACACTCAGAATCAAAGCTAGTTCTCAGCTGCCATAAAATGGGAAGCTAGAACCCAGGTTTTTTTCCTTTGTCATAGCTTGTTTCGGAACAGGTAATAATTAAGGCCAATGTAACTTACCAGGAAATTTCACAGCTTGGCAATAGATGACAAGATCTGACAATTCTGGTGCTATTTGTCTGCTTTCTTTTTTATTTTGAGAAAGATAAAATTCTTCCCCTAATTCCATGTCATAAACCTATATATCATCAAGTGAAAAAAGAAAGGATTTCATCATATTTAATATTGCAGTCTAATCATGAGCAATGTCACTTATATGGTAGAACACTGTTAATTTACATTTATAGATGTCCCCAATCTTTTAACATTTCTTCTTCCCCACATTCAGCCACCACCCCTTCCTCTAAATCTACTTTCCACAGGCCAGCAGGGAAAGATTAGGAACACTACTGCCTCTAACCTCTTAGCAGCCGGAGACAGGATGAAATTACCTTAGTGGAACAGGACAATCTGCCTGATCCTACAGTTCCCTTCTCACATGCTATACCTCCCTTTCCACCGGCCTCGTGAATTACATGTACTTTCCCCATTGCAGCAACTAAATATTACTACACAAACATATACCCTAAATCTAAAAACAAAACAGAAACGACTAAGCTCACTTTATTGAAATAAATTCAAAAATATTTAACAGCAGTATTCCCATCTTGCCTAAATATATATACAACAGGGCAGTGTTGTGCAGTGCAGCACGCTCACAGAAAACAGGACATCTCAGCGTGAAGTCAAGCCATCTGGCTTAAATGGTGAGTTTATTCTGGCAGACAAACCACTGTACTATTATAATTCTCCCCTGGAAAAAGGTTCTGCTAGTTCCAACATTCTCTCTCTCTCTCTCTCTCTGTGTGTGTGTGTATATATATATATATATATATATATATATATATATGGTCTCTATGGTAGAATTCATAGACTTCAACAACATCCACTAAACTGTATTCTAAATACTATTGTACAGGAAAATGCAGCTAATTTTGTGGGTTTTATGAAAGACATACATGCAGTGGAGAAGCCTTGCAACCTGAAAATGCACAGTATTTAAAAAATACATGGCATTATAAGTAGCCTTGCAATCACCCACATTACTTTTTAAAAATTAAACAAAGGTCCAAAGTGAAGACACGGAAGAAGGCAAGGTAGATTTAGCCCCTTTATCAACACAGCTCTTTCCAAGAGAATGAAGGCACTCTCTCTCTTTGTTCCCCCCTCCTCTTAGTGCATTCTGTAGCTGTTCTTTGCAGAAGATCTGGTTTGCAGCTGCAGGTCCATCTAAAGCACATGACTTCACCCAAAGAATCCTGGGAATTGTAGTCTTCTCCTTACAGAGCTACAGTTCCTATCACACTTAACAAACTATGCTTCCCAGGATTCGGGGTGGGGGAGAACCATATGCTTTAAATTCAGCTCAGCCTAGTGTTCTATACACATTATGATCAAAATATCACATGTTATCATGCCAGTGGAAAACAGCTGACTTGTAAGGAGAGGGGTTTCACTGGCTGAGATCATAGAAATGTTGTAAAACACGGTAACGGTGCCTCAATGGATAAAACACTAAACAGACTGGGGGAAACAGCAGCTTAAGATGCAAGCAAAGCCAGTCCCACTATGAGCTTTCCTAGGCAAGAATCTACTTCGTCATACATATGAAGTAAATTGGGAAGGTAATATATACGCTGAGCAAAGTGAAGGCCAAGTGGTATTTGACAAAGTGAGACTGAAAAACTTTTGTTAGGAAGGCAAAGAAGCTCTCTTGAAAACCGGGGAAAGTGTCCAATACTCAACCTAAAGAAAATCTACATCTGTTGAGCCATCAAAACACTATTAAAAGAACAGCTGGACATCAAATGAGGTACACTTTATTTCTGAGGTGAGATAACCACCCTTATTTAAACTATGAGGTATCTTTTATGAAGCAAGAGAGGAAAAACCTCAGAGGTGAACAAGAAACACTCGACGGTGCAAACTTGTCTACTCAGAAGTATGTTCCATGGGGCTTAGTAGGTACAGCTTTGCAGTCTAAAACATTCTTTTTTCCTCAGGGGCAATAGATGGCACACTAGACATGAAGGAAGTAGATCAGGGCATTTAAACGTGGATCTTAGATGCTGCAAGAGGCCGGTGTGTTTTTTAATATCTTTGTAAGTTTCAGTTCTAGACTACAAGCCACTCCCCGTATGGAAGCTTGAGAAAACAGATATGAACAAATACTACCTTTCCTTTGTTGCTGTATATAGCGCTTTCTGTTTTCTTTATTCTCTTTGCAGTTTCTTCGCTATATTCAAATTGAAGCTTATCTATGGTTAACTTATTCTCAGGTCGGTCTTCCAAAATGTTATCTGGAAAGTAAGCATTATCTGACTGAAGAGTTGAAAAGGCAAATTTTACTTCAACTTAATGCTTTGAGTAAAAGCAGCCAATATTATTCTGAATAATCAAAATATTAAACAGGCAAATAATTTCTCCTTCAATGCAATGCTCTTCTAAGTGCGAGTCAGTTTTTATCCTACCTTTTTGAGCTCAGCCAGTATTCTCTCAAGATGCAAAGCAGAAGCTGGTTTTCCACTTTAAACCATTTGTGGAATGATATAATAAATTAAGCTGCATCATCATCATTATTTAATTGCAAATGTTTTAAAAGTTTTCTGTCTCAAATTTTGTACTCAGCCCTGTGCATGAGACATTACTTCGCAGATAAGGGAGTGGGGGGTGACAGGGGATTGAAGTGCTTACTAAAAAGTTATTCTCATTGTTCTACCCAAAATTATAACCAAATAGAAAACTATATTTGTGTATTTTAAGTCAACGTACATAAACGTGATTCACTAATCTATATAGCTATAACCAAAGTGTATAAATAAGAAACTAGTGTGGAACATGCAAATATTGCGATCCTCAAAAGTAAGTAATGGAAAATTATAGAAATGCAAAAATTGTGTTTTTACTAAAATGTGAAATTCAAAGAATGCTTCTAAGTTGGGAAATGCAGTGCTGAAATTCATGCAGTTATTATGCTTGACCAAGTGGCCTTTTACCTTCCTGGCTGTTAGGAGCAGGAGAAGCATTAAGGACATCAGCTACAGGAAAACAGAGTCAGAAAGGGAATAAGAGTAAAGGAAATTAAGAAATAAAGCCAGAGAAATGAAAATTACATTCAAACTGTGTAGAGCTATCATCTTCGACACAAAAACTTGAAGAATTGCTGCAGGGATATAAAACTGAAAATGCTAACTATTAGAACACAGATGAGGTCAGACTTTATATAAACACATCTGAATCTAGGTTAACCCAGAATGGAGGTGATTTCATAGCGTGAGAATTTAGAAAACTCATGGAAACAGGCAAGATACTAAGTATGCTCGAGGTCTGGCAGAGAATTTCATAATATTATAGATATATACTCAATGTACATATCATGAAACTAGCTGAAAAAGGCCCCAACTTGGATGAGCCAATGGGCACATACTATAATTCAAGGTGGCAGGAATCCAATAATACAACAAAATGTGCCTTCTGTTACTCTGTTTTGCGCTGTGTGTCTACCTATTCATATAGATTATCAAGTATAAGACAGGCACTATTTTCCTGGACTATATAAAACATGCTTCCTAGCCATGGTGTTTTAATTTATGGTACTGAGTAGACTTTCTGAAAAGCTAAGTCCTTAGAACAAAAGCTGCTTTGTGTTGCTGGAATACAGTTTAGAGCAGACATAGTACATACAGAAAACCAACTTTAAAATATCCTTATTTCAGTACACATATCAAAACAACCACCTTATGCAATAACAGAGATGATTGCTATGTTTCCTAATAATATTCTCACAGCTACATCACTATGAAGATAAAACATAATTCCTTTCCCATCCCTTCCCATAAATCATAACCTTTTCTTACTATTTAGAATGGATATGAAAGACAAAAAAAAGAGTTGTGTAGTGACAAATGCTTAAAAGTTGTAACTGAATAGGTTTTTGGGGGGAGGGGAGGCAACTTTAAGTGTAGTTATGGTTGAAACTGTGCCCATGCCATAAATCCAAAAAATGCAACCCTATAATAAGTATGTTTGTTTACCATCAGACAGAGACTCATAGTCATAGTCATATTCATCTTCTTCATCTTCTTCTTCTTCGTTAGCAGTGGAGGGGTTCCCCACATTACCCCCGTTGCTCGCCTGAGCTTGCATGTATGCCAACTGATGAGCCTATTATATTAAAATAACATTGAAAAATACAATGGAAAATTCATTTGGAAAATACAATGAGACTATATGTTCCAGACTTATATCTAATTTTATGTGCAGGGTCCTTGCCTAACTCCACCACTGAATATGGTCCTCCACAAGAAGTAATAGGGGTTTTCTCCCCTGTAGAAATTACATGTCCATCTTCCTGGACCTGACAAAACACCATCTCTTATTTTCCAACACATTGCTCTTTCCCACTGAGCTACCAGCTACCTCACAATATGGATCCAGAGTTCTCCCCACAGAATGACTTCCCTATTTGTTTTTCATTGAGTGAGCTGAGATGCTTCCTCCCCTACCCGCCCAGAACCTGGCTGTCTCTAATAAAATTAATGGGTCCAATTAAGATAAGGCCAAATGGGACAGTGCATCTGGCTGTCAACCAGAAGGTTGGTGGTTTGAACCCACCCTGGGATGGTTGTGGGCAGGATTCCTGCATTGCAGGGGGTTGGACTAGATGACCCTCAGGGTCTCTTCCAACACTACAATTCTATGGTAACTGTAGCCCCTTTCACCAAAAATGTAACATGACACAGTATTTCTCTATGCAGAGGCCCAATATGTATAGTTCTCTCACACAAAGCAAAATAAAGACAGAAAAAGATTGCACAAATTGGGCCTCCCCACATACATCCACATGTGGTGGGGAGGACAAGGAGATTATCAAGCCAGGTAAGTAGTGTGCCAGCCCCAAACTCTGGATTAGGGTTAAAATATATTGCTTAATAATAATGAACTTCTTAATATACCATGTCACCTCCTCCTGATAACATTCAGGGAGTTGGGTAGCCAAGGGTGCAATTGACAATCCAAAAAATGACTGAGTGTGGCAACTCTCAAATATTTTTTCAAAGGAAATTCACACCTTCTGTTTTAATATATCCACTGGAGTCTGGTGAGCTTTGAGCTTTTTGTTTTTAAGCAGGATCTTTCTTCGCAGTTGGTGGGGAGAAGGTAACATTGGGTCGTCGGAAAAATCGCTTTCAAACAAAAATTTAGTCACCAGCTTTTCTTCAAACGTATTCTGAAACATCAGTTAAGATATAAAGTTAAGATACAAAATCATACAAACATGAGTTTAGTTATAAATTGGATCAAAATTCCTATGCCACGCTGAATGGCATTATTCTCTCTCTTAATCTACCTTGAAAATGTCGGCCATCTTTCGCTGCTGTGGCAAGGAACAGTGGTTCTCAATCGATATGATGACGGGCATGTCTGAGGTGGTGAAAGCATTGCGATCGATAGCTTCGACAACTTCCTGTAAGAATGAAAACCAAAACAGGACTACCTAATTATTCTATGGCATCCAGGGCACATGCCATTCTGCCCCACAAATTATTGAAGGAAATCTAGCATAAAACATGCTGTCCCCAGACAGAAGGAAAAGCGATGTGCAAGTGGGTGACAATGCCCACTTGGAAGCTGGGGGGAGGGAACTTGTTCTCCACCCCTGTTCCAGACAGAGATAGCCTGACCATGTCTAAGCACATATTGGCAACCTCTGATTTAGGCCACTTTAGTGCACTGTATAGGACCCGGGTGGCGCTGTGGGTAAAACCTCAGTGCCTAGGACTTGCTGATCGTATGGTTGGCGGTTCGAATCCCCGTGGTGGGGTGAGCTCCCGTCATTCGGTCCCAGCTCCTGCCCACCTAGCAGTTCGAAAGCACCCTTAAGTGCAAGTAGGTAAATAGGTACCGCTTTATAGCGGAGAGGTAAACGGCGTTTCCGTGTGCTGCGCTGGTGCTGGCTCGCCAGATGCAGCTTGTCACTCTGGCCACGTGACCCGGAAGTGTCTGTGGACAGCGCTGGCCCCCGGCCTCTTAAGTGAGATGGGCGCACAACCCTAGAGTCGGACACGACTGGCCCGTACGGGCAGGGATACCTTTACCTTTACCTTAGTGCACTGTATATGTTGGGTCATCTCTGAAGTCTATTCAGAAACTTCAATAGACATAAAATATCATTGATTGGGAGTAGGCTATACACCTCACCAGTCTTGAAACAACTGCACTGGCTCTGGGTCCATTTCCTAGCTTTATTCACAGTGTTATTCTAACCATAAAACCATAAACAGTTGGATATTTAAGAGACCATGCATTCTTGGATGAACTTGTCCCCAGTATGAATATTCTCCTCAGAGGAAATTCTGTCCCCACCACAACAGAAGTGAGGGGAGAAGGGACTGAGGACTGGGCCTCTTCAGCTCCGGCATTCCAACTGTGGAATGCTTTCCCAATGGTGACTCTTCCTGACATCATGTCATACATTTTTGGTGGTGCCAAATGGAGAGAGGAGAGAAAGAGGGCGGACAAATCTCACATTAGAAATATTTCCATAGGAAATAATGGAAATTGTGTACTTGTTATGTGAACGCTTGCCTAAGGAACATTTTCCAGAGAACGAACAGTAAGCAGGACCTGAGTGTCTTTTTCCACAAGAATAATTTCTACTACAATAGACATTAGTAAGAATATACATCTACCTTAAAAGGAATCTTCGTAGTTAGTGTGTGGCCATGATAAATTACAGGCATTCCATCATCACCATCCCAGCAGTCTAATTCCACACTCCGACAGCCTTGCAACAGAACCTGAAACAAAAAAACAACAACAACATGGTGTTGCATTGCTTCTACAGAACCATACATTACTTTAAAGGGCTGAAGTTTCAAACTTTTCAGTGAGCATACTATAAATGACATACAAAGGATAGGGAGACGGAATAGAGTGAAATGCTGTAAAAACACTTGATCAAATTCCTGCACCACTGACAAGTGTTGTTTGAACAGTCTTCTCACAAAATAGGCTTCCAGTAAAACTACTGTATACATAATTCAACCTTCCTACATGTTTAACTGTTGAGCCCTATATTGATCCCTCTGCACCTGTGTTTAGTTAAGAAAGACCAACGTTACATAAACACACACACACTTAGTTGTGCATCTGCAGCATCTTTCCAAGGCAGCCATTCTGTGCAGGCTACCAGCAAAGTTTTCTTGTCCTCCAAAATATGCACATCTATTTGTACATAAAAGAAAAGGCTTAAAACAATATTTTTAATGCTGCTAGATGATAAAAAATATATCCAAGTGGTTTACAACATTAAAAAGATTTTTAAAAACCGTACAACGAAAGTGCAAAAAGGTAAAAACAATTTAAAAGCAAAAAAAAAGTTAAAAACAAAAATGTCAGGCTCTGGAAGGTGGCTCTGTGGCCCCGTGCTAAATGCTCCTGTCTGTTGATGAGGTATGGAAGTGTGGTGCTTCTGTAAACTCTTTTAAACATGATGCAACTCCATCATACACAAGATATAACTCAACCCATGGAAAGGAGCACTTATTTTCATGTGGGTTACTGCCCAGAAACAATGTCTAAAATATTATGTAATATTCCTAGAAGCAACAAACACTTTTCTGAGTAATGGTGCTGCTTCAAAGTCATACTTTCAGCAGAACTTGCATTATTCTGAATGGTGCTTTGACATTTAAATGAACCAACGTATTAGCTCAAGTCTTTCCTGTGGGAAAGTCTAATTTTAGCAGGTTAGATCAGACTGGCTAGTGTCTAAATGCTGTGACTCTCAAACCAACCCACCCTTTTTTGTGCCTTAAGAACAAAGCTTAAATATATTATTTTAAAAAGCATCTGAGCACAACTGTGCACACAAGCAGTTTTTCCCACAGATCTTGTTTTTCCTATGCTTTACAAGCAAGTATTCAGGACATTTAGGTTTAGAAAGCAGGGGAAAGGTCATGCTTTTTTTGACATTCCAAACAAACAAACAAATTCTTGCAAAAAAACGAAAAAGGCACCTGGCTGTAAAGTTCTACTGAGGATTCTCCTTTAAGCTGGTGTCCCGTGAGATACGTATTGTGTGAAGACTCAATGTAGTAATATGACAGAGGGAATAGCAAATCTTCAACATTCTCTTGAGACTCGTTGTTCACGGATGCAAAATTATCTTTGTCCATCAAAAACCTAGAGATACAGAAGGCTAAAATTCATAAAAAGAAATGCAAGGCAGGTTAAGAAAATATCAAGGCGATCTTACAGGAGATTACCGTGCAAATCCTTCAAAAGACATCAGTCCCTGCTGGCACATGTTGATGCTGGGTTCAAACTTCTGTAAGAGGCAGAACAGAAATGTCAATAAATGGACTAAAATAAACTGGCATTAAAGAAATGAAATGCGTTTAGATGTTATACACAGTTTTGGCAACATAATTTATTTGTATCCAGCTAATGCATTACTGGGGGCAGAATTAGGCATGACGATGTCAAATTCAGGTCTTCAAAAGCAGGTCATGCCCAACACCTGTAAAGCAAGGCATGGACCAGGGGGAAATGACAAATGGTAGACAGGACAGAATACTGAAACTTTCTTCCATTTGCCCAGACAAAAGTGACTGTCAAAGAGGCAACCAGCACACAACACGGTCACTAATTATTCATGCCACATGCCCCTTACCTGGCCTGCCCCACTTCTCACACCATTAACTCCCAGAACTATGGCAATGCCTCCGCCCTGCTCTCTCCTGGCTGCCAGTTTATAACTAGGCAAAGACCACTCTCACATGAGAAAGGAAGATACAGCAAGCACAGCTAATATTGGTGGGGGAGACGCTACCCACATCGGTCCAGGAACAAATACATAGCCCCAACACCCCCAGAAGTCAAGTCCAGGAGGTTTATCGGCCAATCTGCCAGCAGGGGTGAGCTAGCTTCTCTCTGCTAGCCAGTGGTGGGGAAAGGTCAGCTTCTGAAGGAAGCTTGCAAACATTGACTTGTGCAGAAACACTTCACAAATTTATCGCATGTCTCCCATTAATGTTTATAGGGATCCCTTAGTAAAAACTCCAAATTCAGCTTAGATGTCTTTAAGACCAACATCTGTGTGATGTCTGCATCCTCCTGGAGCTAGCTGACTGAAGAGGTTATGTTAAATTGGTACACTGGTGAGATGTCCACCAGTTCTTCCCTTCCTAACAGGCTTGCTTGCAGCTGTTTATTTCTGTGCCCAGTATGAGTTTTGGCCATGATTCAGCTACGTGCCCAACTTTTTATTGCTGAAAACAATGGGATTTAAAAACACTGAACTTTAATTGGACTGGGGAAGGGCCATAGTTCACTCTCCGTATCTCAGGGTACAGCTGGGAATGTCCCATTCTGAAACCCTGGAATGTCACTGCCAGCCAGAGTCAACAATACTGATGGGCCAATAAATCTTCCTCAGTACAAGGCAGCTGCATGTGTTCCATGTTCTCTATGTTACTGATGCTGCCACACCAATTTAAATATGGTGGTTGCTCCTGGTTCTAAGAGAGGAATGGAAAAGCCCTGTGATTAGAATTCCAATAGCTTAGCATTACACACCTGAATAATACTGAGGATTTCATCATATGTGTAGTGTTCTC